CACACGCACACGCTCACACACACAGGCACACACACACACACACGCACGCACGCACGCACACACACACACACACACACACACACATAGAGACACACACGGACGCACACACACAATATAAATAAACAAATACATAAATAAATAACCAATATACAAAATAAAAAAAATAAAATAATATAACTGATATTCCAGGGGGCTCTAATTTATTATTACAAGCGAATACATTTTTGTATATATTTATAAAGATTCTCAGCTGAGTTGATTTGATTTGGTTCTTTTCATAAAATATTTTATTCATAAATTACATCTTTTGATGCCTAAACGTCATATGAATAATCGTATGTATCTTCATAAATATATTTGTTATAAATATTTGTGTCTACACCATAGACTGTATAAAAACAGGTCTGCGCGTAGCTATGCTGGAAATAAAAATGAGAGTGTGGCGCCACCCTGTGGTAAACAAGTAGAATTGCGCCACTCTTTTACTGGCTCGTCACTTCCTGGTTTCCAAGCGGAAATAGCGGAGTTTGTTTGGTTACTATGACGCTTCATCTTCTTCTCAAAGATGGCGAGAACGGGATAGACTCTCGCCGTGCAGAATCGTCTGCTCTGTATACTTTCAGGGTTTTTAGAGAGCTGCAGTGTGTGGCATTATGGCGGGGGTTGATGATGAGGAGAGCGCGCTTGTAAGTCATGAAAAATGATCGCATAGCACTCATAATAATAGTGCAGCTCTGCACGAACATGTTTTATGGAAATACATGTAGTTGTGAGATGTTTCATAAGCATATGCATAAATAGCAGGAAGAAAAACCTATAAATTGAATACCAGTTGAAGCAATATTCTCAAAGAAACAGACATTTTGATTGGAAAGAGAGCCTGACATATGGAATAATAGTTGGAAAGATCTTTTTTTGTTTTTAATGGAACAGTTTATTGAACCTTTGGGCAAAAAAGTATCATATTTGATACATCAAGCTTTTATGGCTCATATGGTGAGAATATGGAGCCCATACTGAATAAATAAACCTTCCTCAAAAGCCTGATGATCATATTTGATGCTCACATTTGAAAAAAAAAAACAATTCTGAAAGATTATGTATGTACAGTATAATCAAGTAAACCTAAGTTCAGTCCAGTAAGTGTTCGTCTTGAAACACTGCTAACAATATAAACCGTATTCTTGCGTAAACAGTAAAGATTTCACAGCAAGGCACATGAAGCACGAGCTGAAGGTGGACGTTTGCACAATTATGCTTTTACTTGCTAAAACAAAAAGTCTAAACTATCAATCAGACGACAGACACAACAGGTTTTCCAGCAAAGTTTTTGACAGGCTGATTTAGAAATGTATGTATCAAATAGGATTCAGTCCGTTTTACAAGGTAAAGAAACGCCTGTAATAATTTTTAGATAACTAATCAAGTTTCATTCGATAATATATGGTTTTCCAGTAAATTGGAATAATGAAAAAAATAACACTACTGAATTTACTGCCAATTTCAGGCCTTGATCTTATACTACTGCCAGGAAAGGTACTCCAGTCATGTTGTAGATGTTTCCAGTGACGCTCAAGGCAAATTCAGTCATGATCCGATCTTCTCATTCCTCCACGCTTACGGGCTGCTCATGCAAGGTGAGGAAAACCCACCGTTTTCTATCTTTGTCTTCATTTGGCGTCTTGAGAAATGGTCTAAAATAAATCCCTTGGCGTCTGTTTTTTCTATGTTATTTTATTGTTGCAGATCAAGTGTTGGACGCCATTCAGGAGCTGGAGCAACTGAAGGAGAGAAGAGACCTTTCCCTCTGTGTGCTCATGGCTCTGGTTTATGCCCAGAAGAAAAGACCAAACCCTGGTAGATCTTTTGCATGTCTTGCAATCAAAAATGAGAATTTGCTAGAAATGTATTCACCCCCAGGCCATCCAAGATGTAGATGAGTTTGGAGAAATGTAGCATTGCTTCACTTGCTCACCAATGGATGCTCTGCAGTGAATGGGTGCCGTCAGAATGAGAGTCCAAACAGCTGATAAAAACATCACAATAATCCACACCACTCCAGTCCATCAGTTAACATCTTGTGAAGCAAAAAGCCGAGTGTCTGTAGGAAACAAATCCATAATTAAGGCATTTTAACTTTAAACCGACGCTTCTGGGCAAAATACGAGTCCATAATAACGCTCATAAGTCCATCTCTTGTTGTCCTCTCGCATCAAAATCCACCAACATATTTGTTCAGAACTATTTTGGACTGTTTTCACTTGTAAACGGTGCTTGATCTGTGCAGATTTCTCTCCTGATTCAGACGAGACGACTTTTTCACTGGAGAAAGCAATATTATGGACAGAGGACTCTTATTTTGCCAAAAGCAATAGTTTGAAGTTAAACACATCTTATGATTTGTTTCTTATAAACATGCAGCTCTTTTCACGTCACAAGTCGTTAATTGATGGACTGGAGTGGTGTGGATTACTTGTGGATTATTGCGATGTCAGCATTAAATGTCTCTATAAAAATCCTTTGTGTTGCATGGAAACTGTATTAGCATACAGGTTTGGAATGATATGAGTGTGAATAAATAATGGCAAAACATATCTTGCCTGTAGACCGTGATGTGATCCAGGAGCTGGATGGAAGGGTGAAGGAGGAGAGGAAGACGGCGAGTCCCAAAGCTCTGTATTACGCTGGCTTGCTGCTGTGGCTTCTGGGCCGCAATGACAAAGCCAGAGAGTATGTGGACAGAATGATCAAGATCTCCAGTGGTTCTAAAGAGGTGAACTTTTCTAATGCATCTACCCTATAGATGTCTGCTGAGGTAGCTTTTCATGATGGGAAAAGGACTGATCAGCCTGCCTGTATCTTAAAGGGGTCATATGATGCGATTTCAAGTTTTCCTTTCTCTTTGGAGTGTTACAAGCTCTTGGTGCATAAAGAAGATCTGTAAAGTTGCACAGACTAAAGTCTCATATCCAAAGAGATATTCTTTATAAAAGTTAAGAGTCAACCACGCCTACCTAAAACGGCTCGTTCTAACACGTAGGGCTGTCGCGGTGAGGGAATTTCCCTTGCGGTCATTTTGAGTGGCTCAATAGCGCGGTATGCGGTTTTACCGCCATAAATATACATATATGTATACACACACACACACACACACACACATACAGTGTCAAAGAAGGGCTCTGTTAGAACATAGGCAGAAATTCACAATTGATTTTAGTTGAGTCTGAGGTTTTGCATGCTACAAAGCTGCTTAAAATGCAATACAACAAATGTTGAAAAGCATACAAATAGTATTTTTTAAATTATATTTAATTATTGCATCGATACTTTTATATGTATATAAATTACCATTTCTGTCATGACAACTCTCGGAGGGATTGGCATGGTAATGTACATGACAATGTTAATGTATTTGGTCTTGGTGGAATAGATCTGCTACGCTGCTGTGGCAGAGCAAGTACCGAGACTTGCTACTGCAAATACATCCACAACATGCTGCTGTAAGCATGTAAGAAATACTACTGCTACACATATGTACACATAAAATGTGTACACATAACACATATGAATAACCCCGTAGCAGATCTATACAGGTGGAGCTGGGGAAGGTAGAGGGTTTCTGAAGTGCGCTGCAAACTGCTACAGCAAACAAAAGCCAGGTATTTGAATATTAAGCAGTAAGCTCATTGGCTACCGATACAGGAGAGAACCAATCAGCTGCCATGTTACAATGCTTAACCGCGGCTTGTGTACAGCATCATCACTGTGTCTGTCACGCGACTCTGTTGCCCTTTCAGGCTTGAACTGGTGGTAAAACTTACAACATTATTAACTGTCTTGATATTTACTTTGAAAGCTGAAGCTCACGATTATGGTAAGGGGCGTTACATTTCCGACGCGTGCTTGTGGTGTTCGGCCAATCACTATGCACTGGGTCACCTGGCCAATCAGAGCAGACTGCGCTTGTCGAAGGAGGGGGCTTTGTTGAAAACGATGTGTTTGAGAGAGGCGGGGCATAGAGGACCTAAAATAATGTACAGTATTTGAAAAATAATGTGTTTTTTGAACATTAAAGCATGTCAACATATTCTGTTACACCAAATACACAAAGTAATGATCTTTAAAATAGCATCATATGATGATCAATAGCATAAGTCTGATAGCAGGGCAAATATTCTGCATTTTGCAAATTATGCAGTAAGATGCATTTTGGCTGAAATTTGGCCTGTTCATTCATGGTGGCCATAAAACACTAAACTATGAATGTTTCAGTCAATAAAAAAAATTATTTGAACATCGAGGTATAGTATGACTCCTTTAAATGTAGTGATTTTTAGGGCTGTTATAATTAAATAAAACCAAAACCATAAACCCTTTTTTTATTATTTAGTTAACTTAGTTTACTGTGCTAAAATAACTTAAATAAATAAAACTGAAATAAAAAAATAACAACGTAATTGCTAAAAACTTGATACAAATAAAATGAAAAAAGTAAATATATAATCTAATTCAAAATATTAATAAAAACTATTAAAAAAAAAATAACACTGATGATTACCAGATTTTGCTGTTTATTTAATATTGGGATTATTGTTTTGTAGGGAATTGTACTGAAAGGCTGGATTGAGCTGCGATCTAATAAGGATGCTTATGCAAAGAAGTCTGGGAAATACTTTGACGAGGCTCTGAAGGAGAAAAGCGACATTTTTGCATTGATGGGGAAGGTAACTTTATTTCTGATCACCCTTTAATAATTTAGCAAACAGAAATGTTTAAGATGTAAAAACTTATAAGATGTGTGCACATTTTTTATTTACATTTGTCAAAAGGCTTACTTTTTAAATGTGATGTAATTGTTTAAATGTAATGATCCTAAGATTTAAAAAGATTTGTTTTGTAATGCTCTGATTGTGTCTTTCTGTCAGGTACATTATTATGAATTTCGTCAGAATTATTCTGGTGCTTTAGAGACCATTAACCAGGTGATTGTGAGTTACCCGTCCTTTCTACCTGCCCTGGTCAAGAAGATGAAGCTGCTGTTGACTCTACAGGACTGGGAACAAACTATAGATGCAGCTCAGAGGTAAAACCTTTATTTAACGGTTTAAGTAATATTAATTGTTCTGGTTTTTAATACATAAATACACTCTAAAAGCTCTCAAACACAAGTGAGCTGCATTGATGTGCAAATGGAAATTAGTTCTGTCATGACAGCTCTCGGAGGGATTGGCATGTTAATGTACATGATAATGTTAAAGTATTTGGTCTTGATGGAATAGATCTGCTACGCTGCTGCTGCTGCGGCAGAGCAAGTACCGAGACTTGCTACTGCAAATACATCCACAACATGCTGCTGTAAGCATGTAAGAAATACTACTGCTACACATATGTACACATAAAATGTGTACACATAACACATATGAATAACCCCGTAGCAGATCTATACAGGTGGAGCTGGGGAAGGTAGAGGGTTTCTGAAGTGCGCTGCAAACTGCTACAGCAAACAAAAGCCAGGTATTTGAATATTAAGCAGTAAGCTCATTGGCTACCGATACAGGAGAGAACCAATCAGCTGCCATGTTACAATGATGCCACTAGGTCAGATTGAGCTAGACCTATCGGACTGCGCCATCTAGAGTTTCATGCCAGAACTCTGTATATGTGATTCCACGGATTTGTACAGAAAGACTGGATCATTGTTTCTCTTTCCCTGTTGGATGAGGGCTAGTGAGTGAAAGAATGAAAAGGGCTTTTTAGACTGATCACTAAGAGCTGTACGAACTCCCCGACGAGACCTCAAAGAGTCCAGCTCTCTCAGGTGGAGCAGGATTGTGGTTTTTCAAGCTTCTTTTTGTACAGTATTTTCTCTAAAAGAGTGACGTTTGTCAATCAGAGGGACCATAATTTCAATTAAACATTCATTATAGCCAAACTGTTTTCATCTAAATATACTGTACATAAGGAAGCATAATATTTAATCATTTTCATTTATATGCATGAATATAACAATAAATAGTAATGCACAACAATATTTACCTACATGTGTTTTTATAAATACATGACCATATAATGCAGGGACTGCATTTACATTTAGCAGATGCTTTTATCTAAAGTGAGTTAAAAATGTGATGATGCAAACAAACTGTTGAATTGAATTTCTTTTATGCAAAGACATAAATGCATGTCTCAGAACATCTGTTTTACACATCAACAGACTTTGGATTTAATTTCCTGATTCATTCATCTTCTCAACTTCAGGCTTCTTCAGCGAGATAAAAATAACCTGGAGGCTCTGAGGATGCTGGCACTGCACTCTCTCTGCAGGGAAGGAGATGTTGGAGAGGTGTGACATTCCAAACATATGTGTTTACTCCGATTAAATGCTAGAAATGTCATTTATTATGGGACGTGCATGCAATTGATGTGAGCGATTCAAATCAAACTATCTTTTAAAAGAAAATGTTTTGCAACATGGAAGTTCATCAGAAGACTGTCTAGGATCAGTGTTGTGATTGTTCACTAAAAATATGAAACTATTAAAAATCGTTTTGGGTAATTAAAAATCTAAAATAAAATCTAAATATCAGATAAAAATCTTAAACATTTAAAACAAACTGAATGAAATAAATAAGTATTCCTAAAACTAAAGATGAAATAAAAATCAAAGCTAAATTAATTTTTTTTAAATAATAATAAAAAATAACAAAAGTACATAAAAAATAACTAAAACAAACTGAAAATTTTAAAATAAAAGCTCATTTAAAATATCAAAAAGTACTATAATGTCTAGCATGGCTGGAGTATTTTTTTATATGTTTAAAATGCATGAATAGAAAGAGCATTAAATCAGTGTTTTTTGGGTTTGTTGTTTGTGTATTGTTGTGTTTGTGCAGGTATCATCAGGTGTCAGCTCATGGAGGGGCAAATAGAGGATGCAGAACAGCAGCTGGAGTTTCTAACAGAGATCCAGCAGTCCATTGGCAAATCAGGGGTGAGAAACCATTGAAAGGGGTCATATGATGCGATTTCAAGTTTTCCTTTCTCTTTGGAGTGTTACAAGCTGTTCGTGAATAAATAAGATCCCTAAAGTTGCAAAGACTAAAGTCTCAAACCCAAAGAGATATTCTTTATAAAAGTTAAAACTCGTCCACGCCCTTCTAAAATGCCCCGTTCTAACACGCCCCCACATGTCTACGTCACGATGTGGGAAGATTTGCATAACCCCGGCCAAATGTTCACGCATAGAAAGACGGAGTAATTTTGATTCTCGCTGTAGTATTGTTGCTGCCGCCGCCATGTCGTGAAGACGCTGTGTGTTTCATTGCGAAAACGAAAATACTTTGTTTGGTCTTCCAAAAGAGGAAACAATTAGAAATCAGTGGTTAAGTTGTATTTACAACACTGTTCCAGAACAGATCAAACCAAATATTTGTGTGTGTGCAACGCATTTAACGGAGGACTCTTTCCTGAACCTACAATGCCGGCTGTTCTGACTCACA